TGGACTGTGTGTAGGTGAACTGTGTGTAGGGGGAATGTGTGTAGGTGGACTGTGTGTAGGGGGAATGTGTGTAGGTGGACTGTGTGTAGGTGGACTGTGTGTAGGGGGACTGTGTGTAGGTGGACTGTGTGTAGGTGGACTGTGTGTACAGGGGGACTGTGTGTGTAGGGGGACTGTGTGTGCACAGATGGAGTGTGTGTGTACAGGGGGATCTGTGTGTAGGGGGTTGTGTGTGTACAGGGGGATGTGTGTGTAGGTGGACTGTGTGTGTACAGGGGGATGTGTGTGTAGGGGGACCGTGTGTGCACAGGTGGAGTGTGTGTGTACAGGGGGATGTGTGTGTAGGGGGACTGTGTGTGTAGGGGGACTGTGTGTGTACAGGGGGATTGTGTGTGTGTGTAGGGGGACTGCGTGTGTACAGGGGGATTGTGTGTGTACAGGGGGACTGCGTGTGTACAGGTGGACTATGTGTGTACAGGGGAACTGTCTATCTGTGTGTGTGTGTGTGTGTGTGTGTGTGTGTGTGTGTGTGTGTGTGTGTGTGTGTGTGTGTGTGTGTGTGTGTGTGTGTGTGTGTGTGTGTGTGTGTGTGTGTGTGTGTGTGTGCTGTGGTGTGTACAGGGGGACCCTAACACTTTAATCATATCTGTCCGCTGTACCTTGCCCTGGTCAATAGACCATACTATGCAAACGAAATACCATACACACTTTCATCATATCTGTCCGCTGTACCTCCGCCCTGGACAATAGACCATACTATGCAAACGAAAGACCCTACACACTTTCATCATATCTGTCCGCTGTACCTCCGCCCTGGTCAATAGACCATACTATGCAAACGAAAGACCATACACACTTTCATCATATCTGTCCGCTGTACCTCCGCCCTGGTCAATAGACCATACTATGCAAACGAAAGACCATACACACTTTAATCATATCTGTCCGCTGTACCTCCGCCCTGGTCAATAGACCATACTATGCAAACGAAAGACCATACACACTTTAATCATATCTGTCCGCTGTACCTCCGCCCTGGTCAATAGACCATACTATGCAAACGAAAGACCATACACACTTTAATCATATCTGTCCGCTCTACCTCCGCCCCACCACTTCCAAAAGTGATTGCAGATTAATGGTCAGTGACCCGTACGCATTCAAATCAACCCAAAGACTCGTCATCTGCAAGACCACAAATTAGTCTGTCTCTCAGACGCTAAAGAATAAATTAAACATAACTCCAACTAAAGTCTCGAATGATTTTGCAAGTCTAGATTCCCTCGGCTCTGAAATTAAGCATTGTCCTGGGCTCCATTTGGATTTTAGTTTTAGTTTTTTAGATATAATGTTTAAATAAGACAACTTTACTTCTGGGAATAACTGTTAGTCCAACCACAAATGTAGCCACTGTAATTATCGAGAGATTACTTTACTCCGTCCTTCTAAAACTGAGAAAGAAGACACAATTTCCCGGCGTCACGTTGAGTAGGTCATGTACGACTTTGGTATTTTCCTGTGACTAGTCTTAAAAACCCTATCAAGACATAAAAACAATGATCATGAATATAACATCGATCTATAGTAAGGACACGTTCTACCCACAATACAGGTACTAAGATCGGGTCTTTTGGTCAGGGTACCGTTTTCGACGTAATAAGCGCCCTGCTCTAATAAGCGCCCACGGTGATATCTGCTAATATATTGGCCAGTGAACAATCCCAGTTAGCACCCCTTCCGATTGATCAGTGTACACAAGACTTATTTATTCGCGTATAATACGCACTCGTGCGATATGTGCACACTTAATTGTGGGCAATTAAATTCTGGAAAAATATATCTGTCGCACATAAACATTTCAGGCTGTCAGCACAAACCACGATATTTATCTTTCAACTAAAATAATATTCCAATAAGAGCCCCCTATTTCTAATTTTGAGAGCTCCCTGGGCGCTTATTACGTCGAATACGGTATATATGATTAACGCCTTAAAGTAGAATCAATTGCTGTCAGAGCCTCAGCATCAAAAACATTCAAATGAGAGTAAACACCACTGTCCTGTTTAGCTTTTACAAAATTATTTGTGGAATATTTCCAGCTGCTTATGAACACATTCATTCCTTCATTCATTCCTTCAAATGTTTATTTATTTATTTTTATTTTTTTATTTATTCAAATACTTGTTTTTTATTTATTCAAATGTTTATTTATTTATTTATTTATTTATTTATTTATTTATTTATTTATTTATTTATTTATTTATTTATTTATTTATTTATTTATTTATTTATTTATTTATTTATTTATTTATTTATTTATTTATTTATTTATTTATTTATTTATTTATTTATTTATTTATTTATTTATAGTGCTTCTTAATATTTTTAGCTCTGCTCACTCTCGCCCCACTCGTGTTGACACAGGAATTAGCATATTTTAAGTTACAGATAAGATGTCTGTTTAGATAAAGACACTTGTCTTCCCTTCACATTTAGGGATGAGTGTAAACACAAGTGTACATCTTGTAGTTCTCCTTTCAGTGTAGGTAGACGACTTTAAGATAAGGACAGTTCTTTACCATTACAGTTTGGGTAGGGTTATAGAAGTGTGTGATCTCGGAACACATTTCATAGGATATCGGATGTAAGGGTGTTCAACTATAATTATTTTGAAGCGATAATTGCTTTTTCTTCTTCAATATAGGAGGTGTTATCTACCCGATAGTGTCAGCGTAATAAACAAGGGTGATGAAGAAAAGAAAAACATATTTCACATGACATATTATACAAGTTTTGTACTGGACAGGGTGCATTTTCTAACAGAACGTATGTGTATTAAGTAGGATAGTACTATACAGGGAAATTGATTTCTTTATACAACTAGGATGGGTGGTATATGTGTGTACCCTTATCATATCAGAAAAAAGTAACAGCTTAAATAAGTTCGATTCGATATTAATTCCTAATTACACATGAATTATAGAATATTGTACCAAAGGTAGGTGTATACAACGCAGACCATCAAGATATGTTTTCAGCATTTTCTTTGTTATTTCCTTTTCACATATGAATTATAGAATAGTGTACACTAAGGGTACACAAAGCACTATATGGGGGAAGTCCAATTTGGGAATATTGACTGAAATTTGCTGCTGACTTGGGGACGAATATTGGCAGATTTAGATAAAACCCTGCTATCATAAAAAATCAGATTTGGTATATTCCTCACCTGTCGCACATGAATTACAGAATATTATATTCCATGCATGTGTCCACCTGTTCAGTGTATAAAGTTCATTGTGATTCCTGTGGTACGCGAAACTGTATGTTGTTGGAATGGTTAAACTTAATACAAATTGTGAATTGAATGTCATATATAACTGACATTGCCATTCTGGCAAGTGTTGGTGGTTGATTTTCTTCACTCTAACATTGAAATCCCCATCTAAACAGGCATAGGCCCCTGGCACCTGTCACCAACCTTAGAATCTCTAGTCATACCTTATACCCCCAAGAACTATTACTGAGACAATCGATTTAAAAATAGATATTTTTGCTTTCAGCGTTTGACATATTTTACTTCCAGCGTTTGAAATATTTTACTTCAGTACCAGACATGAATTATGAATCGGCGCCTCGAAGTACATGTTTATCTATATAATTAATATTAAATAGTTTCATCATTTCATATAAAATATTTCCTTATATAAGAGTTATAGCATAATTCATATGAAACACGTGCCTATGAATACTTTCAACTATTTTTTATCAGGCTATTATATTAACATAAATTAATTTATGAAGGTAAAATGCATTTATTGTTTCTTTTAAAATATTAATTATGGAATGGAAAGAGGTCTTCTCACATCCCTAAATTTTTACACATAAATGGTTCGAGTGTAAAATATATTTTCCATTAAGCGGTCAGCCATGCTGTTTTGAGGAGCACATTACTTTAATATAAATATTAACGATGCTATTAAATATATGTGTGCATAATCAAATTAATACCTCAGCTTAAAACGCCCTAAAAACAGTACTAGACTGTGATACATGTGGTCACTGGTTTTATTTTCGTAATGCGTCAAAGTCTGACACTATTCTGACATCAAGCTACTTGCTCCAGTAACATATTTCATATCAGTGACACATAAAATGTATATGCTGCTACTGTTCAGGTGAAATTTATATTCTCCCAAGGAGAAGATTACAATCCTTCCTAAGCGTCATGTGCATATTTATGTAGTGGTTGTAATTTACATTCTGTGTGACTATGATTAATTATGTCTTACGTTATATTAAATATATTAAATGGCTAAGAGTGTTACGATTTATTTCAAGTTAATTTCTTGTGTTTGGATGTAAGATTAATTTTAATTATTCTGAATTCTTATTCTTCTTAATCAAGTAATACAATCCACATATTTAGATAATGAATATATCTGAACCACTTGTGATGTCATATTTGAAATGACATAATTATGTTAGGACCATGCTTGACTTATTTCTAATCTGTTGCCCCAAGGTAATTTGCGCTCACAGAGAAGCCGTACATAAATTAAAATATTTTAAAAATCGCGCAGTAAACCGCAGATAAAGAAAACTACACAAGCAGCCGTCCTCGTTCTAATTCGGTGAAATCCCAAAATAACTACGTTTTGTTTTTAAAGATATCGTCCTACTTTTTTGGTCAGATACCGGTAGTAAGAAAGTCGAATGAGACTGAATGATCCAATGAACGGGGACATAGGCGACTTTAAAACTCTCAAACTCAGACTTTGTAAACTCAGTCCCCTCACCCCCACCCCCCAACACACCCCTTCCAGATATTCAGCGTGACGTCATTGGGGTTTGCCAACCCAGGCTAAACAGGCAAACTTTATATCTACTCAACACGTCTATGTCTTACAAGTATAGGGGCATGCGATACACGCGAACACTTGGAAACTTCCCCAACAATCTGAATACTTGACGATCGCGTCGTTTCGACCGGTACTCACCTTTAACCCTCCGTCTCGACTGCCCACCGACTCTCGACCAGTACGTCCGTGTGTCCAGCCCGACCGATGACCGTCTGTCGCATTCCTCTGACACACAGTCCGTGGCGTACCGTCTGCCAGTCCGACAGGCCTATCTATCGTCTGCTCTAGCACGAGGGCTGCGCGAGCTGCTTGCTACTCGAGCTGGCTGTTCGCAGACGAGCTATACCCTAAAAATAGACAACATTAGCACATCGTCTGAAAGATGCAAAAATTAATCGTCAAAACTGGTTGCCATGACTTCGGCCCTATAGTGCTCGCACTATGGTCACGTGACCTCAGCGCGTGTAACTCTGAACTTCTGCGCTTATTACAGTCCTGCTAAGCATTATCAGTTTATTCGGTGTAAAGCGAAGCATAATTGCGTCGACACTGAGTAATTTGACCCGTACGTCTGCTCGTTGTACTGAGCCTGCACCTCCCGCTGCAAGTAATGCACAACCTCAATGCACAGTTGGCGCAGAGCTACTGCGTCGGTGTACAGCTGCACACTGTTCGCGACTCTCGGGAGGGGGTAAGGTGGTGGGGGTGCGTCGATTACGAAACGCTGATCTCGAAGAAACAGGTCTCAACGCTGTCTCAACTTTGTAATTGAAGCAGAAATATTCTTGATTCTTAATCATTAAGTTGTATCATTTTTACTACATTTTCTATGTCTAAAATTTCGTGACTTAAATTTATATATAATGGTGTTGTTCCAACAGTTCGATCTGTTTTGGAAGTATAAAGTCAGATTTTCATAAAGGAAACTAAAAGACCTGCGAAAAGGAATTTACTGGAAGTGATAAAAAATAACGCTCGGGATATCATAATGCATAAAATTCATAACACGTACCAAATTGTCGCAAAAACTAATCAAGTGTTCAATTCATAATAGTATTATGATAATAAGAAATGTAACAGAAAAGAAATTGCCGAATTGAAACGTACCCCTGTCTACTGAGTGAGTGAGTATGGTTTTACGCCGCTTTTAGCAATATTCCAGCAACATCACGGCAGGGGACCCAGGAAATGGGCTTCACACATTGTACCCATGTCGGGAATCGAACCCGGGTTTTCGGCGTGACGAGCGAACGCTTTAACAACTAGGCTACCCGACAGCCCCTACCCCTGTCTAAATAAGGCGTGATAAGTGTCATATTTTCCCGTTGATAGTTGTTGAATTTTTCATATGTAATAAACTGATAAGTATCTCTTACAGATTGAACTATGAAGCCCAGAGAGCGAGCGAGTATTGTTTTACGACACATATGCAATATTCCAGCTACATCACGACGGGGGACACCAAAAATGTAGGGAATCGAACTCGGGCCTTCGGCTTGACGAGAGAAACTTCAACCAGTAGGCTTACCCACCGACCCAAAGATCTTTGACGATGGAATCAATATGGTGTAATAAAGACAATTCGCTGTGTGATCACAAAATAGACCTAATAATTATTGTCACACACCAATATTTGAAATAATTCTCTGTAACTTGTAATGAGTAGGTTGTTACATGTGTCTCGTGGTGGGTAAGCCAATTCAGCTCGTAAAATCCCGTACTTGTAATATTTTATTGATATAATAAAGCAATAAATATACCTATCAAATATTTTACAATCTAAAATAGAATCACATTCTCGTTACCGAAGAATAGTGTCAGCTATCTGTAATGAGAATATTCGTGAAGATCCGGAGTAGAATAGGTCTTCAGCAACCCATGCTTGCCGTTAAAGGCGACTACGCTTGTCGTAAGAGGCGACTAACGAGATCGGGTGGAAGGCTCCCTTGACTTGCATGATGCATGTCATCGTATCCCATTTGCGTGGGTCGATGCTTATGATATCAATAACTGGATTGTCTGGCCCAGACTCGATTATTTAAGACCGCCGTCATATAGCTGGAATATTACTGAGTGCGGCGTCAAACAACAAACATCACATCCTGTAATGAGAAAGTTGTTTCCTTCGTTCATATTAAAAGCCTTGTGTAGATTCTTATTTACAGTGAAACTTCATTGATCCGGACACCTCGCATTCCTGATCATAACGGTAAGTTTTGCCAGGCAAAAGAAGGTATACCCTCATTTTTGACTTAAAGGATACAAACAAGAAATTGTGACTGATAGTGATGTATTTGATAGTGGTACCGAAGTTGTGTTTTGGACATGAGATTGCAGTGTTTCGGCGACGATTTTCAGCCCAGTAACATTTTGATGACGTTCTTAATGTTTCAGCTAAATCCAATTTTCCAGTTTAACTTTCTTTGGCCCGTTAGTTTAAACAGCAGTAGCACCACTGTGTAACGGCTGAAAGCAAGGACGGGGTATGATATGGCCCTGGGAAGCCGACTGGAAGAATCTGATATAAAAGTTACTGTAAAATTATTACAGTTTGTACCGTTGACTTGAAGTCACCAGAAGGTGTCACAAATAAACGAAAAGATCGGTGTGACAAACGCCCAAAGGAAATTACATTGTGATATAAGATAAATTATTTTAGTATATGTTTCTCCGCCTTCGCCCACATCTCCTAAAATTCTAAACGTCAATTCTAGAGAAAAATCAGTCCCCAACATCTGCAGAAACAGATCCCATAAAAGGCAAAAGAGTGACGACATTATATGAAGAGATCAATGAGAACCAGTAATGGCACCAGGTGTTCGTGAAAAGGGTAAGCAGGTCCAGCTTCCAACAGGTTTTGGTCAAGGGTTTACTCATATTCAAATACCAGACATCAGCTTCACGAAAACCGCCAAATAAGACTCTGAGGCACATTTTCCCCCTACTTCTACGTTACCCTCCATTTCGGGTGTCACCTCCGTAATATTGGCGGGATATTGCTAAAATCGGCGTAAAACCACACTTACTCACTCACAGCATTAACTGATTATATTTGGTTATCTTTTATAAATTGTTGAATAGAAAACAAATTTGAATTCTCATTCATTTAAATACATGTTGACAACTTTCATTACATATTCTAGCTAGCAAAGGTATCTGATCATTTTTCACAGTAGTCTAGTGGACATAAACACTTGCTACATTTATCTTTATAAACTAAGAACTATTCAATTCATCATATCATAGTCATTACCGCACATGGTGTCATGTTTTGAGTTCTTAATAGACAATAATTTCATGTGAGGAAACCAATAAAGGCTACCAATTGCACAACGAAAGAACTCGATATCCATCGATATTTTTATGTTGTAATGACATTTGATTTAAATGCTACTGTGATGGAAAACATTCATCTCGTAAACATTTTTGAAAGCGCGTGTATCATTGATAACGTCTATGGACCTATTTAGTTACACGATTAAAACAACAAGGAAACAACACATCGTTGTAAATTGTCACATCATAGACATATATCATGTGTAATACACATTAATGATGGCAAGGTCGTCATGGTGCACTATAAAATACTTTTCTTTGAAAAGCTTCCTGGGTAGTGTTGATCGAAACCATGGTGACGAGTCGTTGTTCACAGACACGTGTGCTGTTGACAGCGTGATAATACTCACGTAGAAGTAACAGGGAGGTTATGAAGGCGAAGGTCACGTAAAGCGTCATAACTGCACCTCTGCGTACAGCTATATATCCCCACAGTAGGTGTAGAAGTCAGGCAGCCTCAATGTGAAGCTATATACACCCACAGTAAGAGTAGAAGTCAGGCAGCCTCAATGTGAAGCTATATACACCCACAGTAGGTGTAGAAGTCAGGCAGCCTCAATGTAAAGCTATATACACCCACAGTAGGTGTAGAAGTCAGGCAGCCTCAATGTAAAGCTATATACACCCACAGTAGGTGTAGAAGTCAGGCAGCCTCAATGTGAAGCTATATACACCCACAGTAGGTGTAGAAGACAGGCAGCCTCAATGTGAAGCTATATACACCCACAGTAAGAGTAGAAGTCAGGCAGACTCAATGTGAAGCTATATACACCCACAGTAGGTGTAGAAGTCAGGCAGCCTCAATGTGAAGCTATATACACCCACAGTAGGTGTAGAAGTCAGGCAGCCTCAATGTGAAGCTATATACACCCACAGTAAGAGTAGAAGTCAGGCAGCCTCAACATGAAGCTATATACACCCACAGTAGGTGTAGAAGTCAGGCAGCCTCAATGTAAAGCTATATACACCCACAGTAGGTGTAGAAGACAGGCAGCCTCAATGTGAAGCTATATACACCCACAGTAAGAGTAGAAGTCAGGCAGACTCAATGTGAAGCTATATACACCCACAGTAGGTGTAGAAGTCAGGCAGCCTCAACGTGAAGCTATATACACCCACAGTAAGAGTAGAAGTCAGGCAGACTCAACATGAAGCTATATACACCCACAGTAGGTGTAGAAGTCAGGCAGCCTCAATGTGAAGCTATATACACCCACAGTAAGAGTAGAAGTCAGGCAGCCTCAACATGAAGCTATATACACCCACAGTAGGTGTAGAAGTCAGGCAGCCTCAATGTAAAGCTATATACACCCACAGTAGGTGTAGAAGACAGGCAGCCTCAATGGGAAGCTATATACACCCACAGTAAGAGTAGAAGTCAGGCAGACTCAATGTGAAGCTATATACACCCACAGTAGGTGTAGAAGTCAGGCAGCCTCAACGTGAAGCTATATACACCCACAGTAGGTGTAGAAGTCAGGCAGCCTCAACATGAAGCTATATACACCCACAGTAGGTGTAGAAGTCAGGCAGCCTCAACGTGAAGCTATATACACCCACAGTAAGAGTAGAAGTCAGGCAGCCTCAACGTGAAGCTATATACACCCACAGTAGGTGTAGAAGTCAGGCAGCCTCAATGTGAAGCTATATACACCCACAGTAAGAGTAGAAGTCAGGCAGCCTCAACATGAAGCTATATACACCCACAGTAGGTGTAGAAGTCAGGCAGCCTCAATGTAAAGCTATATACACCCACAGTAGGTGTAGAAGACAGGCAGCCTCAATGTGAAGCTATATACACCCACAGTAGGTGTAGAAGTCAGGCAGCCTCAATGTGAAGCTATATACACCCACAGTAGGTGTAGAAGACAGGCAGCCTCAATGTGAAGCTATATACACCCACAGTAAGAGTAGAAGTCAGGCAGACTCAATGTGAAGCTATATACACCCACAGTAGGTGTAGAAGTCAGGCAGCCTCAACATGAAGCTATATACACCCACAGTAAGAGTAGAAGTCAGGCAGCCTCAATGTGAAGCTATATACACCCACAGTAGGTGTAGAAGTCAGGCAGCCTCAATGTGAAGCTATATACACCCACAGTAAGAGTAGAAGTCAGGCAGCCTCAACATGAAGCTATATACACCCACAGTAAGAGTAGAAGTCAGGCAGCCTCAATGT